CTAAAAAAATTAAATGTATACTTTGAGGCTTACACCTCACCTCTTCGACACCCAACTGTCATGTCTCCACCTTTAGCCTTTTAAAACCTTTCTTAAAAATATTGATTTGTATTAATAGCTGTTATAACCTATAGAATTTACTGTTTTAATCTTATTTTGATGTAAAATAGCTTTAAAAGATGATTTGGAATAAAACAAAGTACAAAATTCAAAACCAAAAGATTCATATTAAAAAGAATGCATCATGTGCAATAAAGGAAAACATGTATCATTTATTCAAAAATAAATAAAGGAAAACATGTAAATTCACCATAAAAAGAAATAAATTGTGTGTATCTATGCATGTATTTCAGTAAATATGTAAGTATGTATTCTATAARAACTAAAAAAATTAAATGTATACTTTGAGGCTTACACCTCACCTCTTCGACACCCAACTGTCATGTCTCCACCTTTAGCCTTTTAAAACCTTTCTNCTAAAAAAATTAAATGTATACTTTGAGGCTTACACCTCACCTCTTCGACACCCAACTGTCATGTCTCCACCTTTAGCCTTTTAAAACCTTTCTTAGAAATATTGATTTGTATTAATAGCTGTTATAACCTATAGAATTTACTGTTTTAATCTTATTTTGATGTAAAATAGCTTTAAAAGATGATTTGGAACCATCCCTTTCATCCTTTTTGGAATTTTTATTTGAGAGAGTGATTTGAACAACAAAACTGGACAGTTGGACCATTCAACCCTTGGTCCAATGACCAAAATGATTTTACATCCAGTCCAACTCTGACAACGTAGGACCTAAACAAAATTGAATTTCATTTAGAAAGAAAAGTACGTTAAATGTCATTGCAGCTCTAGAACCAATGACTGTATTAGAATAAAGATCCAACAAGGCCAAAGCTTTGTTCTGGGGCTACAGGACCCTTACCACTACATTACCTATGTGTCTGATTCATTCAATTTTTGCGAAGCCTATCCAGCATTGAATTGGTCATGAGAAGACCAAATCAAGCTAAAGCATGACTGCAAGTGTCACATAAAACTCACAAAAGCTGCAGTAATTTGATCATTCATGTCAATTTTCTAAGCTTTCACCCAAAGACATTATTTCTACTAAGAGCTTCTATCTTGGATGGTAAATCATAAAGAGATCACCACTATTATACTTGAGACAGCAAGAACTGAACTAAAGATGGTCATGTTGTGAACAACCATTTCCTTGTGCATGTTCTCAAAGATATTTCCATCCAGAAAACTTTTGATCTTAAAAGCATTTAATCCATTCTTTTCATTCTCATTTTCTATTTGGTTTTAGTTTAAATTTAAACATAATAATTGTTAACTGCCTAGGTAAATCCTCTTCTAGGTAAATGAATGCAAGTTTGGTATATATCGACCAAAACCAAACTATCAAATAAAGAAATTAAAAGGTTGTGCAAGTATTTACAGAAATAGGTCAACCTTAAGAACAAAAAATATAGAAAAAAAAACAAAACAAACGGAGCAAGAGATAGGACTTACCTCTGCACATTTTTTTGGAAGCACCAAACGCCCAATCCGGCCAGCATCACTAGCACTTAACATCTTTTCAAACAGTGGTGTAATGACAGAATTTGTGCTTTGCCATGGTCAAGGTTAACAATTTATTAGAATCTGATGCAAGATGTATCAAATAGATCTTGTACCAAAGTGATGTAATGCCTTATACTAAAATACAAGAGGCCTTGTCGGTCCGAATACAGTTACAATTAATTTCTACCAAGAAATTTTGGTAGTCATGGAAACAGAGGTGGAAGGAAAAAGTGGTAATATCTAGTGCAATGAAATCACAGCATGATCATCTACCAAATTTCAAGAAAAGGGACCTCTGTCATTCTTCTTTTATTATTTTATAAAAAGAGAAAAAGCTTCTTTTCATATGAGGTCTGTCCAATGCATGTAAAGCATGTAGCTAATGGATATAGTCATTTTGGATTAGCCATGTCAACCATCCATTTATCAGGGAACCCCTGAATTAATAGAAAATAGAGGTTGTTATTCACATGATATTCTTTATCAGTCATATGATAATGTTGAGTAGGTCCTTTTTTCCTTTTTTTTAACAATAAACTATGGCCACACAAGGTTAAGTATTGTTGTTTATGAACCTAAGATCTCAAGAAAACATAATAGAAACAAGTGGATACTCACAACCATAAAAGAAAAAAGGAAACAAAGAAATAAGTGGATACTCTCCAGAGATTTGTTGTAGCTCCTGATCTGTTATCCTGGGCCAGTATCTAGGAAGTAACTGATTCCTTCCTCGGGCGTCACCTCGAGGTCTTCCATTGCGTAACTGAGTTTCACCAGATGAATCAGGCCCATTATTTGGAGTAGCATAGACTTGCTTTGCCGACGGAGGTGGAGTCTGCCTTTGTGATTGAGTTCCAGAAACCCTAGTTGCACCATTTGTATCATTGGGTGAAGCATAAGGTACACCAAACCCAAAATGCAGAGTTGACGGTTCATCCTTTGAAATGGATGACGGAAGTGAAACGTTTACACTTGAACCTGGAGGTGTCTCAAAGTTAATAGCAGTAGTGTTCAAGCCAGATTCAGCAAAAGCTCCTTTTCTCGCATCTGCTGGATCATTTTCTCCTATATAACAGTAGGAATGATGCAAACCATCAAGATTCCCTTCTTCCCTGCGGAATTTATTTAAGGTAGCCAATGTTTCAGTACCAGCCTTACCATTTGCAAGTCTATCTGGTGCAGCAAGCTTCAAGCTGTTAGATGCTAATCTTTCAGATGGATCTTCAGCCTTCTTGTCCATGGCAGAAACAGCACCTGATCTCTCAACTTCATAGGGCATCCTTGACTGCAACTCAGGCTGAGCAGCAGCAGTATTCCATATATTGGGTGTTTGACGCCATTGCCCTGCAACCGCACTTGGCCCAGCAATCTGACTCCAGTTCTTCATATTGACATCTTTAAGTCTCTCAGGTAGAGGTAATGGCAGAAAAAAAGATGGCGGCCATATTGGGTTTGATGGCTGAGAACAAAATACATACAAAAATGTTGAATACAAAACAATACTATTTCTTCATGCACTTTAAGGAAATAAGTATCAGCAATATGGAATTGTTAGAGCTAGCCGAATAAGGGTAGATTAGTCATTTTATTTCTGTTAAGTTATGTGCTTATGTGGCAGTCTTAATAGTGACTTTCTGTCCCATACTTAAGTGGGGGCAGTTTAGTCTTTGTACTACTAATTAAAGGCTAATCCATATTAAGGGTCGACTGATAGGGTTTATCCTATCATGTTTGACTGTTCTCTTCATCTTCTTCTTCTTCTTTTCTCCTGGTTCGAACTACTGTAGCTACAGAACAAACATTCCTCTTTTCTCAGTTCGACTGAACAGCACAAACATGGTACCAGAGCCAGGTTGACAGCAGTCGATTACAGCTTCCTCAACATATATTTCTCAGTTCTTTTTTTTTTCGTTTTTCTCTGGTGCGAGAAATCTGGGGTAGCAGACTGCGGCCTACCCATTCCTGCGGCAACTTCTAGGGTTCAGAGGTTGGACTTCTGGTGACAGGGAAAGAGAACAACATTCGAGTGACCAGAAAGAAAAGGTTTTTTTTTTCATGTAGAGTGCTGTCACCATGGGTGTGACAGCTGTGGTGGTTGAGTAGGTGCAGTGGTGGTGGTCTGAACCCTCTAATGAGCAGTTTCAAGAGGGAATCTTTGTGGTTTTAAATCTGCATGTTAGCAGTACAGTGGTGGTTGAAGTGGCCGAATGTATGCTAAGGCCAGTACTTGGTGATTGCAAGTGTGCTTGTGTGGTAGCTAACGAACTGTAGTGCAGTGGTTGGAACTGTTTTTTTGTGTGTGAGGGCAGAACCGACTTTGTAGACTGGAATGGCTTCGATGGGAGATGTGAGTGGTGACCAGAAATCGAGTGTCATGATTTCCTCTGATTTTTTAAATGTCCAAATGACCTCCATTAAACTTAATGGTGAGAACTATGTACCATGGGCCAATTCAGTGGAAGTTTTTCTCAAGGCAAAGAGGAAAGTGAAGCATGTGAAGGAAGATAAACCTGCTAACTCTCCAGGGTTTGATGACTGGGAATAGGAAGATGCCCAAATCATGAAATGGTTATGGAATAGTATGGAACCCAAAATAAGTGCCAACTTTGTTCTTAGATACAACTAAGGACATATGGGAACATGCCAAGAAACTTTATTCTGGGCAGGATAATACTACAGGGGTATATCGCTCTATTAGGAGTATTTCGATCTGCAACAAGGGAATAAAACCCTAGAAGAGTACTATGCCAGTATGAAGAACCTCAGCAATGAACTCAATATCTATCATCCCCTCACTCCAGATGTTAAGGTTCAGCAACAACAGAGGGAACAACTAGATGTCAYKAGGTTCTTAGTRGGGTTGAAATCAGAATATGAACCAGTTAGGGCCCAAATATTAGGGGGCTCTACTCTTCTACACTTGAGGAAGTGTTTGCACGACTTCGTAGGATTTCTTTGGGGCTTACAGAGA